GTGATCCCAAGTGGATGTAGATTGAGTGAAATCAGCCAATTTGTGTCTATATAATATGTTTAAGATCAGGACCAAATTTTCTTATTCATATGTTGGTTGGATAGAGAAAATTCTAATTTCTGCCTTGCAATCATTTTTCAAACAAATAAGATGTCTCAAAAGTCCTGTGAGTTATTTATCCTAGTTTGAGGATGTTTATATTCTTGTTATGGAGTAAAAAAAAAAAATTGGGTATGTAAACAAGGACTGTCGAAACATTCCAGCAAACCAAAGCTGAGTGTTTTGTCAAGCAAAATCCAGTGTTGTTCACAGCTTTTTTAAACAGAACAATTGCAAAGTACAACTTGGAGCTGGAAATATTTTTGAAGATGAAAGGCTTGTAAAACTCATCCATTAACACAGACAAAGGATTAGTTGTTATTTCTCACACAAGTGCATTTAGCTCTAAAATTTAATCTTTCGTGTTTATGAAATCTATGATTGCTTTATACTGCTGTTGACTGCAGTTTACTTTTAGCAGTCTTGCTGAGATATGGCTGTTCAAAATATTATATTCTAGTGTTAAATACATAAAAGCTGAAATATCTTGATGAGATTTTTGTAAGCCAATTTCCTGGCTATGTATCCGTTAAGTTCATTATCAACTGAAATGAATAATTTGAACATTTACTCAGAAGCCATTTCAACTCTGATCAAAGGGCTTCCTCACAAGATTCAACCAGCGTTGTACTTCGACTGTAGCACTCCTTTGCATATATATATGAGAGTAAGTTAGATTGAACGCTATGAGAATTGCTCTCAAATAACAGCCATTTATTAATGAAAAGGCAGACAATGTGTAACATCCCCAAGCACTATTTTTTGGGAGCGCATGGAGAGGAAATTCATTTCCCTATAACCACAAGATTTGGCTGTTGAGAGACTGACTTAAACATAATCATTTTTAAAACCGTTGGAGATTCTGTGAAACCTGGAACCATGCAGTTCCAGATAAATTGTCTTTACTTTGATTTACCTTGGGCTGAAGTTTAAAAAAACTTACTTGCCAAACCAGCTGTTTAGGTATCTTTTCATCTCCTACATCAACAATAGCAACAAAAGGTTTTGGAACTAAAGTGCCCTACTTCATTATCTTTCATACACTTCAGAGACGTGTGTGAAAACTTGTTAGCTTTGTTTTGCACAGGTGCTTATTAAGGAGAACTTTAGAAAGCAGACTCCTTTCCTGTTGCAAGATCCAAGAAATACAGTAAGGGGACAGCTGTAGATTGATTATATATTAGAGTTCTGAATTGGTGACATAACAGCAAAAGGCACCTTTTAAGAAAGATTTGAAAAATAATGAAAGAGCATATTTCACTGATAGAGTATAAACTTGAGGCTTGTAAAATGCTCCAGGCAAATTGTCTGGCATCAACCTTGGATATTTACTGTCACAAAGTCTAGATTAAGGAGGATGCTAAACTTCCTGTCCCACAAGCTGTAATCAGCATGGTCAGCCATGAAATTGTTGGGAGTTGTAGTTTGTAGATTCACCACCATTGTCCTAGATACAGGTAGTTCCTTGACTTACAACCCCAATTGAGCCCAAAATTTCTGTTGCCAAGCACGACAGTTGTTAAATGAGTTTTGCCCCATTTTATGACCTTCCTTGCCATAGTTGTTAAGTGAATCACTGCAGTTGTTAAGCTAGTAACACGGTTGTTAAGTGAATCTGGCTTCCCCATTGACTTTGCTTGTCAGAAAGTCACAAAAGGGGAATCCCATAACCCCAGGACATTGCAACCGTCATAAATATGAGTCAGTTGCCAGGTGTCTAAATTTGACCATGGGATGTTGCCACAGTCATAAGTGTGAATAATGGTCATAAATCTTTTTTTGTGTGTGTGTGCCTTGTAACTGGTCACTAAGTTAAACTGTTATAAGTCACAGACCGCCTGTAATGTTGATCCAGATGTTCTCATTCAGTTCAAGATAGTCACTAGGTTTTATTAATTTTTCACTAGTTGTATGGATAACCTTCACTAGTTTTATGGATAAGCATGTGCAACCTTCTCATCCCATTGTCCCAACGGTGCTTTTTCAAGCACCTTCGGGACAACCATGACTTGGATGATTCCATAGACATTTCTCCATAGACATTTCTCATCCCATTTCACCTCTTCTATGCTAATATTAATTCCTTCTACACTCTTGCATCATTCCTTCTAAACTCCATCCTTTCCTTGTTGCATAGTTCTTACTTCCTGTTCCTAGCTACTTTCAACACTTCGGGGTTACCCTTGAGGCATCATTGCTGCTGCCAGTACCAAGTGCCAACCACTGTAAAAGGGCAGCATTGCTAGCTTTGTAGTCAGAATAAGATGGATAAAATTAGGCTTGTGTGTTTTTCCCCCAACTTTATAAATTCTTCTTGCGCCTTTCTCTGAAATGTTCATGTAGAAAAGCAGATTGGAGGTGTTTTCTCCATAATGCATTCACAATTATTCCCTATGTGCTGGGAAATATCCACCTCCAAACAAAATATATTCCATTCTAGGGTATAGCAGTGTCAACTTATGGCATGAGTTTAAAAGAGCACGAGTGGACTATTCAGGAAGAAAATAATGTTTTAGGGTTTACACATAATAATAAGTGTCTCCCAGGGTTTCTGAATCAAATGGAAGTTTATGTAGAGAATATATCGCTTAAAAAGCTGCATAAGGAACTGAAGTATGCATTCCACATGGTGGCCTGTCTCTTCTCAGGTTCCAGATCAGTGTTTCTCTTCCTTAGGAGCTTGAAGATGTGTGGACTGGGGAATGACTGGCTGGGGAATTCTGTGAGTTGAAGTCTACACATCTTCAAGTTCCTAAGGTTGAGAAACATTGATATGGCTGGGTGAATGGCTGACTGGGGAATTCCAAGAGCTGAAGTCCATCTTCTGTTTGTTGCGGTTGAAGAACACTAATCTAGATAGTATATTTTTTTGTGTTCTCATATGCTCTTCCATATCACACATTCAACACTACTCAAAGGGTTTTTCAAGTAGCGTCTGATCAATCTTGACTAAGCTTTAATGACAAACAAAACCTGGCCTGATGAGGACTTGGATGAGAAGCCATTATAAAATCTCAGGGCTCTAGGACTGTATCAAAAAATTGAGAAGGCAACCCAAAAGGCTGTGTCAAGCCACCCTTCCCAAGAGGAGATGTTAATCTTCCTAAGAGGAGATGTTATCCCTGACAGCCAGTGTGTATAGTTATGAATCAGTTGGATTGGGACTAGGAGACCTAGGTTGAAGTCCAACCTCAACCATGGAAGATGATTGGTTGACCTTGGGCTTTCCACCCCCTCTCTTTCTCTCATCAATCAATGGTGCATGAGTGATATTAAACTATTATCGGAAAGACTATTATTTTGTTATTTATTAACACAGGAGATGCATAATGATTTTCCTTTGTCCTCCATTCCCCTCATCACACTTTGATTTTTCACTTTAGCAAACTTGTGTAGAGCTTTCATTGCATTCGCCATCATCTCAGACAGAGAAATAACACTTGTCACACCGTGTAAAAAAGACAGTTGTTAAATGACGACTCCTTGTTGCCACTTAAGACAAAGAAAGCTATGAGGGTTCATGGAAGGAGAATTGTTATTATATGCATATGTGAGACATGGTTTGCAGGAGCAGTGGGGGAGGGGGGAATTGGTCGTTCTTTTCATGATTGTTGAGATGCCCTCCCTCCTTCTCCACAAATCTTTGCTTTTTATACCAGGGAATGTGTCAGAGTTGGAACGGAATCACCGTTTACCCAGGAGGCCATAACAAACATTAAAAAGACAGGGCAATCCTGTAATTGTCTACTCCAAACTAAACACTATTCAGTTTAGTGGGAATTATATCTAGTTAAGCTTTTATAACAAATATAGACAATCTTCCACCTAACGGCTCCATAGTTCACTGCATAATATCTGTCCTCAGACTTCCTACAGGATCTGACCACTTCTCCCTCTGTTCAGTTGGTCTCTGTTTTCCTACAACTTGTTGGATACTCCCAGTCCTAAAAACACTATGATGAATGTGTGTGTGTGTGTGTATAAACAGATGATAGATCCATGTGCTCCAGAAGCAGTCCACAAGCCTGGAAATGCTTTAAAATTATTAAAACTGCAGCTTTAGGCAACCTATACAGACCCTGTTAGTTACATGTATTTTGTATGGAATTATGTGTTTTCATATTCTATATAGAGAAGTTATAGCAAGGTTCAGTTTAGTTGTCCTACCTAATGGCATGCTATTCCAAGACAAAAATTACACGAAATCTCCGTCAGTGATGATCTCAATTAAAGGTAAAGATAAAGGTTCCCCTCGCACATATGTGCTAGTCATTCCCGATTCCAGGGGGTGATGCTCATCTCCGTTTCAAAGCCGAAGAGCCAGCGCTGTCCGAAGACATCTCCGTGGTCATGTGGCCGGCATGGCTAAACGCTAAAGGCGCACGGAATGCTGTTACTTTCCCACCAAAGATGGTCCCTATTTTTCTACTTGTATTTTTTTTACGTGCTTTCGAACTGCTAGTTTGGCAGAAGCTGGGACAAGTAATGGGAGCCCACCCCATTAAGCGAACCGTTGAACTGCCAACCTTTTGATTGACAAGGTCAGCGTCTTAGCCACTGAGCCACCGTGTCCCTGGATATGGTCTCAATTAGGTCATTTCAAACATCACAGCAAGAAGAACGTCTCATATTTCATTATGCATGTTAATTTTATTTGCAAATGCAAAATGCTCTATAATATCCTTGTGATTGTGGCACTATGTAAAGGTAGAAATATAGAAAGTATGTGACTGTAGGCATTTTAATTTTAGAAATACTTCAAAGAATAGGATTTGTTTTGCATAATTCTAAGATGTAGCTTGGAATTCTGTTAGGTTACCGTTCTGTGGAATTATTAACAATGCAGAGAAAAAATAAATGATGAGTTCTGAGATATTTATATTTTCTTTTATTTCTTCTAGTTATTTCAGTGGAAGCAGCTGGAGAATCTCTATTTTCGTGAAAAGAAGTTTGCTGTAGAAGTTCATGATCCTCACAGGTAAGCAACCAGGCACTTATTATAACTTCCTACGGGATGAGTTGCTAATTCTGTGGAGTCTATGCGTATTCCATATATTCACCCATGTTGCTAAGCTGTAATGTGGTTCATTTTTAGCTCATCCATCCCAAGGGAGCAAAATATTTTATAATATTATGGCTCTCCCTATTATGCTAACCTGGAAGAAATGAACTCAACATCATTGCTTCCCAGGTATATTTAAGTTATATGAAATAGCTCCATGCAGCATTTATTTCTAATATAACCAGAGGATTTGCATTGTAGCCCTTTTTTCCATTAGTATTCCAATCAGTTCCTGAAAAAGAGCCATGGATATATTTATAACAAAAAAAAAAGTTGGTGGAAACTAAAAAAAAAAAAAACCTATTGAGAGAATGTTATAGATTAAGTGTTGGGAAAAAGTGGTACAAATTATCCACATAAATAAATTCTAGTTTATTTATTTCTAGAATGTTTAGGTCTATAACATTCAGCTTCTAGGATTCCTACAGCATTCATTCTGGGGAATTGTAATCCTGATACATCGCTGATATAAGCAGATGCATAATTCTTAATGGGCAGAAGCAGTTCAAGCAGATCAAATATTCTGGAAACATTTAAAATGAATCCTAGACCACCCTTTAAAGTGTAGTAGATATTTTGGTGTTTTTGTTTTTAAAGCATCTCTTCCAACTCATACAAATTGTAAACCTTTTGAAAGCACAAGATTGCTTCAAGTTAGCCTATATTCAGAAGCCACTGAGTAAACTGTAAGAGACTAATTCTGTTGATATAACAATAAGCTAGAAAACAACATAATTACTACACACTTCATCCAAAAGAGGACAGGTTTGTATTTCATCCATCCTCTGTGCACTGAACTAAGACAGGGAAGGGAGCTGAAAAGTCCTTAAGAACAGCCCCAGCAGCTTTGTTCCTCATGTCAATATTGGCTGAGAATTTTTCCAATGCCGACTTCTGAAAACAGCAATGGAAATTGTCCTCCACCCCAGCTCTTCCTTCAGAAACATGTACATTTCCATCTGTTGTTTTTCACTAACATTTGCCACAAAACTTTTTAGTTTTTTAGTTCAAAACCGATTTGTATAATTCTGAAAGAAATGACTTCGGGTTTGTGACTCAGTTTTCTAGTGAAAGAAAAGTCTGGGTATAAAGAAACCTCTTTTCTACCATGTGGGAAAGTGGGGCTTTGGGGATGGTCCTGTGTAAATTCTGCTTTGTCTAAGATCTCTTCTGAGGAAAGGTTTCACCTCGATAGTTCTTCCCTCCTCCTCTTGGGAATGAATGTTCAGTCTTTCTAGCAGTTGCTGCTGCCTCTTATATAATCTAAGTGGTACAGCCAGGCACGGGTTTGCTATCTTAGTGAGAACTAAGCTAGGTACAACATAAACATTTAAAAATTGAAGTGTTAACTATTTCGGCGCCTAGTTGGTTGGTTAATTGCTTCTTTGCTTATTTAACCTCTACAGGACAGACTGCAAAGGTTAATCTAAGGGGTTGATTTCACATGACAAATCTCTCTCTCTCTGTCTTTCTCTTCCAAAAAGCAATATTCACTTTAAGTTATAAAAAATGCTTAGAATTTCAGTATCAAGACGGACTTTTGGACAGAGTGGCCTAGTAGTACAAACCTGGTATGCGAACACTTCTCTAATCAAATCCATCTGGGTGATGGCAATCAGTCAACATCAGTTTTACTTGGACAGGAAACAAAGCAAAGTAAGTGATCTTCAGTGGTATTTAATGTAATTGTAGAAGTCTCTGAGAGTGATTATATAGAGACAGTCCTTGGGTTATATAATAGCATTTGGCACCTTAACATATTGCTTAGTGACAGTCCCTGTTGCTGTTGTTAAAAGAAGATTGTGGATTGTTAAGCAAGAATCTAACATGATTGCAACTTATGACTTCTTGGCCAGCTTCCAACAAGCATTGTCAGTTCGGAAGCCACCACAAAGTTGCAAGTCCCAGGTGTCTTGCAAGCGGGCCATTGGACAGATGAGTGCTACGGAGTGTGTGGGGGGGGAAGGTGTATTCCAGTGAGGTATGGCTGGAGTGGGCAGGCACTATAGGGTGTGGCCAGGGGGTGCTGCAGATGGACGTGTACAATTGCAGGGATCTCATACTTCTTAGTGGGCTCCTCGGGAGAAGATGCAGCAGGAGCAATTTGCAGTGGCTTCCCCATTGACTTTCCTTGTGGGAAGCTGGAAGGGAAAAGTCGCAAATGTCGCTCATGTGACCATTGGACACTGCAAGTGTTATTTGTTTGAATCTTGTATCCCATCTTTATTATTTTAACAAATGCACATATAAGTGTGAGTTGTTTGCCAAGCTCTTAAATTGCAATCATGTGACCATGGAAGTGCTGCAACGGCCAGAATATTGAGTATTGGTGACAAATGCCACTTGTTCAGCACTATCACAACTTTAAATGGTTGCTAAATGAGTGGTTATTAACTGAAGGTTTCTATTCTTGCAAATTAGCCCACGATATATTGTAGCCTACCTTGTAAAAATACCCATTTTAGTGATTCTGAATAACGAGCAGAATTTATCCTTTTATCATTTGTAAATATTTTAAAATTCATTGGGAGTATGGAAGCGTGAGTTGAAAAGCTAGAGTTAATACAGTCCAATTTTTAGTATTATATATGAGCAGTAGCGCGATTATTTAATCTATTTCATGCTACTTCCAGCCACAGCTAGAGAACTGTTCCAAAAAACACATTCAATGTTTAATTTATGAATTTCATTTTTCCTTTCTTTTTCCTATATACATTTTGAACATTTCTAATGGCTAATTAAGCATTGGCTTATGTTTTTAATCATTAATACCCAGAAAACAAATTAAATCTCAAAACAATATATACTGTATATAGGTTTGGGAAACAGTATGAAATGTGTTCTGGTACCTTTTTTTTTATTACAGTTAACCTGGTGATACATGGTAGTGCATTGTTTTAGTTTGTTTGTTTCGAAATTCTTTCAGGCAAAAATTCCCTCAGCCAGAAGCTTGGATGATATCGCAATGGACCTGACAGATACGGGAATGCCAAAAGTTTCAAAGCTAACAGTTTTGGAAGCGAAGAATCAACTTATTATGGCCAGCAATGGTAGCTTAATCTCTTCAGGTAGGAAGTCTTGCCCCCTTTGAAACATCTGCATCCCTGAGTCTTGCTTGTACCATAGAGTATGCTGGTGGATACACTCTAAATCGGAGGTGGGGAACTATGGCCCTTTTATGACTTGTGGACTTCAACTCCCAGAATTCCTAAGCCAGCATGGCTCAGAATGGAGTTGAAGTCCACAAATCACAAAAGGGCCATAGTTCCCCACATAAAAGAAAAGCTATTAATATGAGACCCCAGATAAATGTATTATTGAACATGACAAATCCCAACAAAAAACCCTTGTTAGTCCGTGACAAGCTTTAAGCAGAGGTTCAGGGGGAAAAAATCTCCCAATCAGTTTTGAGTATCGTAATGAGTTTTCATAAAGGATATGATGGTAAAGTGAAAACAAAATTTTTCCTTCAACTTACTTGGTGGTGGTGGTGGTAGTAGTTCAGATTTCCAAAATATCAGGGAGAAACTTTCAGGGGAAATTATCTTCATTCTCCTCCAGCACAGAAGGGTAGATAATTATCCAACACATACAGGTCCTCAAATCACAACCAAGCCCCAAAATTTCTGTTGCTAAGCAAGTCAGTTGTTAAGTGAGTTTTGCTCCATTTTACAACCTTTTTGCCACAGTTGCTAAGCAAATCGTGCAGTCATTAAGCGAATCTGGCTTCCCCCATTGACTTTGCTTGTCAGAAGCCTGTTGGGAAGGTTGCCAGTGGTGACCACATGACAGTGCAACGGTCATAAATATATGCCACTTCCCAAGCACCCAAATTTTGATGAGGGGGATGCTGCTATGGTTGCGTGAAAAACAAATCATGTCACTTTTTAAACCGCCACCGTAACTTTGAACAGCCATTAAATGAATGCTTGTAAGTCAAGGACTACCTATAATAGGAAAAAAAAAACAACTCACTAATCAAAGCTTGGCACTCTAAGAAACATGAATGGAAATACATTCACAGAAGTAAACGTTTTTCTGTCCTCTGGGTTTTTCTGGGTTGTCGTGCCCCCCGGCCTTAGGCTAATGTGAATGACAGGCTTCTTATGTGGGATTTTGCTAGATTTGCGGGGGGGGGGGGAGGTTCCTCTATATATTTATTCCTTTGTAGTAGTTGGATGGAGAGACAGAGATAAGTACATAGATCTGGAGAGGAACTCCTGAGCAAATAAAACTGCTAGGAAATAAAATCAAGATGAATGGAAGCAGTCTCTCCGGGGTTATCGATCTCTCCTGCTTATCCTGCATTTTTTACTTTTGAAGCAGCAGTCTCAGGACAAGTTTTGTGCAAATGTGATAGTTTCAGAAAGGCGGAAAGGACCAATTATAATATGCGAATAGCTAGTTCTAGCCACCCCATTCTTGGGTACTCATGCAAGAAGTTACTAGTTGCAAGGAAGAAAAATAGTTTTACAGTCCGTTTGATCTGGTTTACATTCAACCCTGCTCTTCCTATGCAGGTTTATTCAGGACAACTTTCGGGGTGGCATTATGACATTCATATATCTTTTGTCTGCTCCACCCAGATGGCCTTAAACTCTCTGGAATCAGAAATCTCCTATAGTTTTGCTCTGTATGTTGATATAGCAGCCAATTTACCTGTCCCACATTCAGGGATTTGTGGTTCAGTGTATTGAACTGAAAATCTAGCCTTCCAGGACAGTAGTATAAAGGTCCCCAACCTTATATTGTATTTTAATATATTTAATTAATTGAAACTACATTTCCCAGAATTCCTAGCCATTATGGCCAGAGGCACTTATTAACATATCTGGAGTCAGCCTCTTTGAAAAGGCTAATTTAAGAAAACAAAACTAGCTGATTTTTTTTACCCTTATAACCCAACTTCCCTCTAAATTGCTCAAAATAATGTACTTTAGGCTTACTCCTTATTTTAGCCTTATGGCTTATGGTAAACTACCGTATTTTTCAGAGTATAAGACACACGTTAGTTTTGGGGAGGAAAATAAGAAAAAAGCTGATTGGCAGGTGGATCAGCCTCCCGGAATATCCCATAATCAGCTGTTCCCTGAGGTGAATTTTAGCAACAGGTTCCTTGGTTGTGAACTCTGTGCCTTGCTTTTTTTTCTGCCTCTGCCTCTGAAACTTAAACTTTTTTTCCTACCTCTGAGAGCCTCCGAAACAGAGCTTCAGAAAAAAAGCCTCAGAAGCTCTATTTGGGGGCTTTTTTTCTGAAGCTGTGTTTGGGGGCTTCTTTTCTGAAGCTTCGCTTCTGATGCTTTTTTCAGCCTCTGAAAAAAGCTTCTCCGTTTGAGAAGCTGGCCAGGGCTACATTTGAAGTATAAGACGCACCCAGATTTTCACCCTCTTTTTTGGGGGGAAAAGGTGCGTCTTATACTCCGAAAAATACGGTAAGAGAAAACTGTTGATCTAGTCTTCCACTGAACTCCATGGTCAAGTGAGAATTTGAATGAGCTTTTCCAAGATCTCCACCTTAGCACGTTAATCATACTTCCTCCCAATAAGCCTTTTCGGATTCTGTAAGAAGGACAACTTTAATCTTCAGGTGAATACACCCATTCCAAACCTTGTTTAATCCATTGAGGAACCTACAACCACCTAGTTTTTCTGGATCTGCTCAGCATATGTAAAAAAGATGTTTGAAAAGGAAGTCTTACTATAATTATAAAGTATTGCAGATAAAAATCAAGCAGTAACTGACGTTTACTTCTTACAGCATTCTTGAATTTACCTCATAATCTAATGAGTTTAATCAATTTGCACACATCTAAAGAAAGCACATGTATGCATGTTTGTCTGAGCTGAAACTAGGGGACGTTTATTGAATTTCATTGTAGTGCTGCTGAAAAGTCATGGTTAGTTTAAGGCAGTGTTTTCCAAAGTGTGGTACGCGTACCCCCGGGGGTACAGGAAGAGTTTGGTGGGGGTACGCGTTGCACCGGAGTTTGGTGGGGATCACGTGGGAATATCCACTGCACCGTGCTTAATTGCGCCCACAGAACAAGGAAAGAAATAGGCGCATATCACAGTTTTTACATGGGAACTGGGGCCATTGTACATCGTATCGCAACTCATTATGGCAGGAACTTCTGCGCATCCTTTGCGCAGCTTGGGTTCGGCCATTTTAAACTGTGGGAACATTAACAGTTGACGTTGAGCCGCGGAGCTGTTTAAACGCCGGAGAATTGCAGTGTTATCTAACGGTTAGACCGTCTTGTGAGGCGTGACACATGAATATACTGCACTTGGTTACAGAGACAACTTCTTTAATAGTTAGTTCCGGGCGCCTGTTATCGTGCTTTAGTAAGTTCCACTGATTTTGATTATTTATTATAATTATTGATTATTATAAGATATCCGTTCAACATTAACACAACATCCATGCCAGAAGGTTTGTCGCATGCGGAAGACGAGCAATTGTTGGAGTTAGCTTCGGACGGATTCTTGAGAAATAAACATAAGGAGTGTACTTTAACATCATTCTGGTTACAAATGCAACATGTGTATCCGGTTTTAACAGAAAAAGTCCTGAAATAAAAGTCCTTAAACTTTAAGGAAAGATGCGAAGACACATTCTGTTTAAAGCTAAGCTAACAGATTTGCAAGTTGAGTTGCAATACATTTATTGCATTTATATTCTTCCAAACACTGTTTTCCCACCAGTCTGCGAACAGTTATCATTCTATGGCTACTCCTCACAGGGATTCATTTGTACTTTTCCTCACCTCAATTTTTGTTTTGTTTTGTTTTGTTTTGTTTATATCCACAAATATTGGATCTCGCCTCAAACCCTTTTGAGACTACATGTCTATATTGCTTTTACAGGATCTCAAGATTCAGAAGTCAGCGAAGAGCAGAAGAAAGAGAAAATCTTAGAACTGAGAAAGAAAGAAAAACTTTTGCAGGAGAAACTCTTGCAGAAAGTTGAAGAGTTGAAGAAGATCTGTCTGCGGGAAGCGGTGAGACTTCTTGTTTTCGCTCCAGTCAAGCATAGAGTATTCATTCACTCTTTCTCGGGTTGCTAAGGGTGCTCTTCTCATATTCTGTAGGAGCTCACTGGAAAAATGCCAAAGGAATATCCTCTGAACACTGGAGAGAAGCCTCCTCAAGTCAGAAGGCGTGTAGGTACGACATTCAGATTGGATGACAATCTGCTACCCAATGAGGAGGTAGGCATATCTTTGTTTGTTTGTTTATTTATGATTTTATAAGATTTATGCTTAACATAAATCTGGGTGACTCACAACAATGGTAAAAACCAGAAAACGATGAAAATATAAAACAAAAATCTGGTGCGTCAGCCATCTTGGATGAATACCTCATCCTACCCCAGCTCCTGAGTAAAGATTTGACTTTTGAGGATTCACTGGAAAAATCAGGTCTCCCAAAAAGCTTTTAAGTGGGATCTCTTTTAAATACCTTGCTTGTTATATAACTCAATTTTTTGTGTTGGGTAACGGCCCCGAATCCGCTTTGTTAAGGACTGCTTGAAATAGAGATTAATTGTCAATGGGTGGGTTTCAGTCCTTGAACAATTGTTTTAAAAGCTGGTCTTAATAAAAAATTTAACTACTAATTTGGGTTGCCTGGAATATGGATTGTTGGGATTCAGTGAAACATAGAATTCAGAGACCCTTTTAGCAGTTTTTCTGAATTACATATTATTGGAAAATAAGTCTTCTTTGAAGCGGTGGAAAGTGTTACTCCATAAAGTGAACATAAATTCCGTACAGGAGGTGGAATATTTCCTTCCGGCGTAGAGCTGTATATGTTTTAGGAGATTTTGATTCTTGTTGTTTACTTCTGAATCTATGCAGGCCGTTGTGTTGGAAGCCAGTCTTTTCTGGTATCAAATGCAAGTTAATGTAGGAAGCAAATTACAGGGAGCTATTATGCAACAATTCTTGTAACCTGATATTTGGAATTTAATTTTTCATGTTCAAATCTATGTGCAATATCTTTATAAAATCTGATGTGCAACTCTGTTTTGGGGAGCACTCTTTTGGTAAAATAGAAACCTGTTTTACATTTTGTGTCATAGACTGTACAAGTAGTCCTCGACTTAAAATCGTTCATTCAGCGACCATTCAAAAATGGTCAAAAGCAGGACTGAAAAAATGTGATTTATGAACGTTTTTCACACTTTCAACCATTGCAGCATCCCCATGGTCATGTACTCAGAAGTTGGACATTTAACATTTGCAGTGATTCACTTAACAACTGTGGCAGGAAAGGTGGTATAATGGGGCAAAACTCACTTAACAACCGACTTGCTTAGCAGTGGAAATTTTGGGCTCATTTGTGGTCGTAAAGTTGAGGACTACCTGTATTGCAAAATTTAGAGATGAGGCAAACTGCAAGGAGATAGATATCTTATGTTCTTCTATTTTCTGAACCCTCAAGCTGGTATCTGGAAGTCACAAGGTGTTTGCCGACATAATGCAGGTTGCTCCCTTCCTATTTTTTAAAGGTTCTTTAGATGTAAAATAAATAAATTGATTAAAAAGAATGGAAAACATGCTGTAAAACAGAGCTCTAGTTTCAAACATAAGACTCCACCTTCCATCCTTCCAAGGTGGGTAAAATGAGGACCCAGATTGTTGGGGACGATATGCTGACTCTGTAAACCGCTTAGCGAGGGCGCTGTAAAAGCACTGTGAAGCAGTATACAAGTCTAAGTGTTTTTGCTATTGCTATAACAGTGCTTCAAGCACATAGATATTCAGAGAATATAAAATGGTTATAACCTGAAGCTTTTATTCACCTCTTGGTAACTGTAGAGGAATAAAGCACTGGGATAAAGCCACTAATAATCATTGCAATGTTTAAGATTCTCACAGATTCAGAGCCTTTGCCCTATTGATTGGAGACTTAAGAAAGATTGCATTAAACTGTCAGATGAACAGGAAGAAAAATGGGTTCAACACCCAGGCTGGGCAAAGTTAAGGGTGGAGGTAGAGCAGGTTGTGTGGTTCTTTGTCACTTGAAAAGCAGGCTTCCAGGAAGGAAGCATGAGTTTCGCCCCACCAAATGAGCTTGTTTTGTTCACATCTTTTTCTGCCCAGTATAGGAATGGAAGTAAAATCCATACTTTTCAGCTGAAAGGGCAGTTGGCATACTTTCTTATTCTCACTTCAGATTAATGGTGCTAATTTAAATGCGGATTTACGTTATCTAAAGAGATGTATCTCTACTGGGAAGAGATCTATAGAAAGCTAGAATTAATTGGAGCAAGATGTTATGCTTTTTTTTTTTTTAATTTGATTTATATGCCGCCCTTCTCTGGAGACTCAGGGCGGCTTACAATGCGTTAAGCAATAGCCTTCATACTTTTGTATATTTTATACAAAGTCAGCTTATTGCCCCCACAAACTGGGTCCTCATTTCACCTACCTTAGAAAGGATGGAAGGCTGAGTCAACCTTGAGCCTTGGAGAGATTCGAACTAGCAGAAATTGCAGGCAGCTGTGTTAATAACAGGGTGCACTAAACCACTGTACTATCAAGGCACTGTACTATCATATGCTTAATTGTGGCCTTAATCCTCGACTTACAATCACAATTGAGCCCAAAATATCTGTTGCTAAGCGAGACAATTGTTAAGCGAGTTGTGCCCCCATTTTACAACCTTTCATGCCACAGTTGTTAAATGAATCACTTGCAGTTGTTAAGTTAGCAGCTCAGTGAATCTGGTTTCCTTACTGATTTTGCTTATCAAAAGGTGATCGCATGATCCCAGGATACTGCAAACATCATAAATATGAGTCAGTTGCCAAACATCTGAAAGCACCAGGAGGCGTCGTAAGTGTGAAAAATTGTCATAAATCGTCTTTCTCAGTCCCATTGTAACTTCAGACGGTCACTAAATGAACTGTTGTAAGTTGAGGACTACCTGTCATGAATTTCTTCATGTATTTGTAAGTTACCTTGCCTTAGACGGCATTCTTCTACAGAGCTGTGGTGGCACAGTGGTTAGAATGCAGTACTTCTGCTGACTGCCGGCTGCCTGCAGTTTGAATCTCGTCAGGCTCAAGGTTGACTCAGCCTTCCATCCTTCTGAGGTTGGTAAAATGAGGACCCAGATTGTTGGGGGCAATAGGCTGACTCTGTAAACCGCTTAGAGAGGGCTGTAAAAGCACTGTGAAATGGTATATAAATCAAAGTGCTATTGCTATTCTGCAGTTGTGGCCTAAAAACACTGTCTAACTTTTCTTTTCCTGCTTATTTTAAGCCCAACCCCCTTCTTCCCTCCCCAAAGCCGCCTGTAGCTTAGGGGCATCTAGGAGAGTAGTTTTCAAAAATTAAAAATGGTGACCCCCCCATGTGTGTAATTGAATCTCCCTCACTTGTTTTATACATCGTGAATATGCATCACAGATAAAAAAGAGGCAGAGCTTGGATTATGGAAATCGTATATACCATCTTGATATTCTGCAGATATTCTTGGTTACGCCACTGAAATTTGGTAACATATTTGTCAAAACACTGACAATACAATCGGCTGGAGTCTGTCGGATTCTTTACCAACATGGATAAATAAGATGTATGGGCATTATCTCAGTGCTATCACTTTAGTAAATGCAGTATACTGCAGGAAAGCTGGGCAGCTTTTTCTTCACAGAATGACAGTTGTGCAAATCCATAGCTGCTCCTGGAAAGATATTGAGCTTTAACCAGTGGTGAAATTCAATTTTTTTTATTACCTGTTCTGTGGGTGTGGCTTGGTGGGTGTGGCAGGGGAAGGATACTGCAAAATCCCCATTCCCTCCCCACTCCTGGGGAAAGGATATTGCAAAATCTCCATTCCCATCCCACTCCAGGGCCCGCCAGAGGTGGTATTTGCTGATTCTCCGAACTACTCAAAATTTCCACTACCGGTTCTCCAGAACCTGCTGAATTTCACCCCTGGCTTTAACCCTAATAAAATGTGATGTAAAAAGTTGGCTTCTTAATGATGGGCTATGGCAGAATTAAAAAGACTTTAAAGCTGGTGAAAAGACCAGCTGTTCTTTGTTACATGTATGGGGGGGGGGAGAAATCTGTGATGGTTTTTTTGTTGTATGGTTCTTAAAGCTAGAGCTTAAATTGATGTCATTTCTTCTATGGCAAATCCTGATTGATGGATTGATTTAACTCTCTGTAGGACCCAACCCTGCAAAATCTGGAAAGCAACTTTCTCATCCAGCAAAAGATGGTGGAAGCGGCAAAGAAGCTTGCGGGTGAGCCGGACCTGTGCAAAAACGTGAAAAAGAAAAGAAAACAAGAGTATACAGAGGCTGTGAAAAAGCTCCAGGAGACTGAAAATTCCATCAATGAATATAGAATTAAATGTGGGAAGAAACCTGCGCAGAAGTCAAGCCTGGTTTTATCAGGTATCAAAAAAAAAATAAAAAAAAATACCCCGCCTTTAATTTGTGCTGCCAACGCTCTTTGTCTGTCTGTATGCACCTCTGTGTTTTTCAATGTTATTTTTTCTAGCATATTTATGTAACAGAAATGAAAGATCTAGGCTCCTCAGGGGGGGAAAAACAGTTGGACTATAAGCCTGACTTCAGCAAATGTAGGAGCTTACCTGTAATCTGATTGTCATGTTTTCTTGTAAGATGTGGTTGAGACAGAACACAGATGGAGCATTTTATTCCGACAAGTGCCGACACGTTGGAGGGGGAAAAGCAAATTAAAGCATTTTAATTTGGCTGGAAGGGCTGGTGGCATTCTTCCAGGCAAAACTAGTGTGGCACCATGTTCTGTCAAGAATCAGATGCCGGTTTGAACAGAATGTGGTTGTTTGGTGTGTTTGTTGGCGACCGTGCAATCCATAACAAATCAAGCTGATCATTAGAGCATGGTCTTCCCCCACCTGTCCGCCTCCTAACAAGTGTTGGCTGGGAGAGGAGGAGAGGGAAGGAGATAAAAAGGCAGCTGAGTCAGTGAGTCAGATTTTGTGCTCAGTGAGACAATAAGAATGAAGCCTGCATAGCATAAAAAGATAAAACAACAAATCATGACGCAGAAATGGTCCTCAATTTACCAACAGCAATTGGGACTGGCAAATTCATTGCTAAGTGATGCAGTCATGAAGTGGAACATCACGTGCCCACATGGACTTACAGTGTCAGTTCTGCTGCAGTCATTATGTGAATCACCGTGGTTGTTAAGCTAGCTGTCACATGATTGGGACTTGTGACTTCCTGCTGGCTTCCCCATTGACTTTGCTTTCCAAAGGGTCACAAATGGCAATCACACAAATGCAGAATGCTGTGATGGCCACAAATTCAAGGACTGGTCATAACCTACCTTTTCAGTGCTACTATAATTTAGGTTGCTGAATGGGGCAGTCGGTAAATGAGAGGGCTACCTGTATCAGAGCAATGTGCTCCAAACTGGAATTCTCCAGGTGTTTGGAATTCTCTTGGAATTCTCAACCAGGGAGGAAGAGGAATAAATGGATCCAGAAGCTGAGAATTCATTTCTCTAAAGTGAGGTTACAGTATATGAGGAGAGAGTTCACACCCTTGGACCCAGCCCGTTATATCACTTTTGCTGATTCACAAGGCAGTCCCAAAAAAAAAAGCAGCCAAAAGTCTTGGCTTTCAGAATTTCAATGTTCCACAAAGCAGGCACTTGCACAAGTCTTTAAAATGAGAAAGGATCAGAGCCTCACAAGTATTAAAACCACTTCCTTGCTTTTCACCTGTTGCATAGAATGACTGTGGTGAGAGTACATCACAGCAGAGGGCAAGTCACTTGAAGGAGACTCCACTTCACCTTGTGTGGGTCCAGTTATAGTCACTGAACAGATAGCGTAAGGAAAGATGGGCTTGAACAACTTGCACAAGGAATTTAATGAACTGGCTCTATATTTTGTAAATCCAAGAAGGTGAGAGAATTGCAAACTTTGGATCAGCTGTTTATGGTCTCTTGTTTATGTCCCAAACTTGGCCTTTGGGGAAACTTTGACATATTGTTCAAGTCAGTGGTGAAATCCAAATTTTTTTGCTACCAGTTCTGTGGGCGTGGCTTGGTGGGCGTGGCAGAAGGATACTCCAAAATCTCCATTCCCACCCCACTCCAGAGGAAGGATACTGCAGAGTCCCCATTCCCTCCCCACTCCTGGGGGAAGGATATTGCAAAATCTCCATTCCCACCCCACTCTGGGGCCAACCAGAGGTGGCATTTGCCAGTTCTCCAAACTACTCAAAATTTCCACTACCGGTTCTCCAGAACCTGCTGGATTTCACCTCTGGTTAAAGTCCAATATTTGTACCTGTTTTACCCACTTGTTCTTATAACTACTCCCTTTCACTTTTCATCACTTTCTTTATTTTTTACGTAAATGAGCCATCACCGCTAGATAGAGGATTCTCTATCAGTGGGTAGCAACTTGCCCCTTATTTTTTTTACATAGGCAGCTTTAGTAATCTCTCAGCATACCTTCAGCTGAAGAAAGCTTTTAATAAGCAAAAGATTAATTCACCAGTCAAATCCTAAACAATCTTACTTATATTTTCAAGAGGGAAGTGGACTTTCTTGTTTTTCTTTGAAGACGTTTCGCTTCTCATCCAAGAAGCTTCTTCAGCTCTGACTGGATGATGGGGAATGGAAAGATTTAAATCTTTTAAAAAGATTTAAAAAGTATATGAAGTTCTGTTTCACTTACCTTATCAAATAGAAAGCTAAGCAGATTTAAATCTTTCCATTCACCACCATCCAGTCAGAGCTGAAGAAGCTTCTTGGATGAGAAGCGAAATGCCTTCAAAGAAAAACAAGAAAGTCCAGTTGCCTCTTGAAAAAGAACCTTTGGGACAACTATGACCTGGATGACTGAGAATCTCCATAGAAGAGTTTCCAATGAAACTCAATTTCATTGAGAAACTCAAATTTCATTGAGAGCTGCATCAGGGTTGTGTTTGACCTCGGGGGGCCGAATGGGCACGGCTAGGGTAGGCGTGGCCAGGGTAGGCATGGCCAGCTCAACGTCCTGAAGCCCTCTAGCAGCGAAAACAAAGCCTGGAAAGGCCGGCAGAGACACCGCGGGCCAGTCCTTCGCTGTTTCCAAGGTGCCTCGCGGGCCAGATCTAAGTATCTAAGTGGGCCTTGAGATTGACACCTCTGCCATAGGCAATCTTATTAGATTTTATATATTTTTATTGCCAGGTTGAAAAACTATGGACTATCCAGACTTTTGCTTTCTTATCAACAATATTGGTGTTACGTGGAAGGTGCTTGTCTTTTTGAATTCTAAAATCACTTTAGACATTTAGCTTATTCAAGAGCACTTCACTTTATTCAACCCCCTAAGCAGGGGGTTGGATTAGAAGACCTCCGAGGTCCCTTTCAACTTTGTTATTCTGTTTTTCGGTTCTCTTTTATTCATTTTCTATTAACTTCTTATTATTGTGTGAGAAGCCAGTGTGTTTGCAGTGATTTAATTCTGACTGCCCCAGGCATTCAGGTGTTTTACTTTGGGGAGTTCAGATAAGGCATTCACTTCACCTAGTTGTAAACAGCTCTTTGCTGGGCAGACAAGTAGGAGGGAAGGTATAAGATAGGTATGAATGATTAGGCCCAGAGCTGATGTCTGCATTTTGAAAAATCTTGAAATGTGTGTAGGAGAACTCCCTAAATGCCTTGATTGTTGAGAAACCAACTGGTACAGGGAGAAGTATATGAAGTTCTGTTTCACTTACCTTATCAAATAGAAAGCTAAGCAGATTAGAGTTATACATAACCATTTTCATAGAGGAAAATGATTTGAATGCCAAAAATGGATTCTTTGAAGAAGCTGGAAAAACGATGAGTGTTGCCAGTGTCTTAGAATGAAAGCTGAGAAACTGATTAGAGCTTTGACAACTGGAGCAGCATTTAATGATTCAACCAGTCTATTCCACAAGGAGTCAATTCCTTGAGTAGAAAGCTTGCTGGACATTTCAGCAACTTATGTGCAAGTGAACTGGGAACTACACAACTCTTGGTGCATTTTTTCTCTTGTCATCTGCGTTATTTCTGATGACAGCCTGGCATTTACTTTGATTTTCAAACTGCAGTTTATACCTCACCGTTTGCTCTAGCATTAAGAGCTTCAGTTTAGAGCAGAGTTGGCACCATCTTACCAATTTATGACCTTAAGAAAAAGTCATGCATTGATTAGCTACATTCAGTAGTTCTAGCGTTTCCCTTTCTTGACATACATTGACGTACAAGGACAAAAGGAAATAATCTTTCCTGGCCTTTTTCCAGTCAAAGAGAATTATAAAAGCAAAACTATAACTATAAAACTTAGCTTGGAAAGGTTGAAGGCAAAAGAGAGACAGGGACGGCAGAGGATGAGAGGGTGAGATAGTGTCATTGAGAGAATGAACATGAATTTTAGCAAATTCCGCAAGGCGGGAGGACAGGAGAGCCTGGCGTGTTACGGTCCATGGGATTGCAAGAGTTGGACATGACTTAAGTGACTGAACAACAACAAAACTGTGTAGATCAGGGAGAGGCAGCCAGATGCTCTCCAATGATCCAGTATGATTCTCTAATTTTGGTCATGAGATTTTTTTTTTTTGAAACAGTTCATTAAAGACACAATTGCAGAGAAACTTTTGCAGGTTTGATTTCAGTATATTCTGGGAATAAATTAAATATATCCCACACTCTTGTCAGTGTCAGTTGTCCTCAGTAAGTGCTTATATTAGGATTCCAGTGCACCGGAGTGTTTTAACATTTGTGCAAAGTGCAGCAAATGTTGTGGGACTACTGTATGTAGCCCTTGTATCTTCAATAGCCACTATTGTAATATGTAAAAAGAATCTTAAAAATGAATAGCAGCTGACTTGTTTGGCTTCAATATATCAGTGACTTAGTCTGTTCTCTGAGCATCTTAGCGATGATTTGCTTGGAGCTAACATTCCAGTTCATGAAAAAGCAGGCTCCACTTTACTGATCTTTGTTCTTAATTATTCATTTTATACTCGTTCATAGCAACCTATCCTAGCAACCGTATTTTTCGGCGTATAGGACGCAGCGGAGTATAAGATGCAGCTTAGTTTCCTTAGTAGAGGAAAATGGGGGGGAAATTCTGCCTACCAGGTATTCATCTGTCTAGCGTCCTTAGTCTGGTAGCTTCAGCACATTAGTTTGCTGGTTTTTATCCCCTGCTTGGGGATTAAAAACAGCTTCTAAAGCACAACTGATCTTTGGAGAGAGAAGGAATGAGAAAAGCAGGCAAACCACGGAGATCGCTTCACTTACTAGTGCCTCGTTAGGGCTGAAAAAAAGCTTCATAGCTGAGAGTCAGAGGGAGCAGGCAAAGCATGGAAGATCGCTTCACTGGAAAAAAACCTTCTAAAGCACAGCTGAGAGTCGGAGGGAGCAGGCAAAGATCGCTTTACTCGCTAGCAGCTCGTTAGGGCTGGAAAAAAGCTTTGAAAAAGCTATATTTGGAATATAAGACGCACCCAAATTTTCAGCTTCTTTTAGGAGGGAAAAAAGTGCGTCTTATACTCCAAAAAATATGGTATGTGATCCCTGAGTGATTACATGCATTCTTAATGATTGTATGCTTTAATGTATAATGTATCTACGGTTCCAAACTGCAGCTTTTGTCACTCATGAGTATCCTTTTTTTTTTTTTTTGCTTCTCCACAGATGAAATTATCCCGTCTGAGAGCAGCTCTTTGTCTGACACAACATCTTTTGAAGACGGTGTGTATTCCCATACTTTTAACATCTGAAAACAAAATTCACATGGGAAATGTTAACATTCTGTATTGCTTGCCTTCTCTGAGTGAGTGGAGGTAAAGAGAGGAAACGTGGTTTCTGTAACAGCTGGCATCTTTAAAAAGGCCAAGCTACTTAATGCACATTCCTGTCAGCAAAGGAGCCTGTCAAGCAGTTGGGCTTTAAGGATGTTCATGGAAGGGATGTTTCCCATGTCTGGATGTCCTGCAGTCATATCTGCGTCAAAAAATGCTTTTAAAAGGCTCTGACGATCCCAGCTGAGTTGCTTGATCGTCAGGGGCTTTTTAAAAATCTTTTAAAAGCATTTTTTCTACAACCTCTTTGGCCGAAGAGGTTGTTAAAAAAATGCTTTTAAAAGGCTCTGACGATCCCAGCTGAGTTGCTTGATCATCAAAGGCTTTTTTTTTTTCTTTTAAAAGCATTTTTTCTACAACCTCTTCGGCCGAAAAAATGCTTTTAAAAGTAAAAAAAAAAAAAAAAACCTCTGATGATCGCATGGCTCAGCTGGGCATGGGGGAGGACAGGGATTATTGCTACCAGTTCTTCAAACCACCCGCCACCATTGCTACCGGATCGGGCAATCCGGTCCAAACTGGGAGCATTTCACCCCTGGACTGCTCCTACCCACACAGACAGGCAAGACATTTTAATTTAATTTAATTCTTTACCACCTGCTTTATTTATTTTTATTCTAAAAACCTTTGGGCCATTGGCTTTTATATATATATAAAAAAAGAAATGCAAGTGCTAATGGGTTAAAGAAGAAAGACTGTACGCTGATACAATCTCCTAATCTTCACAAACATTTAACTCATATAAACAAGCAATTATTATCCTTTTTAATCTTTCAGTGCTGCCATAATGATACCTGAGTTTCTTTACCTTCCTTACTTCCTGCCAGCTAATACTGGGCTGGGTTAGCTACACTCCCTTGGCTAGTCATTAGTCCAAAAAAAAAAAAAAAAACCCCACTGTCCTACTTATTATCACATTAAAAAAATGTGCAGCAAATGTCAAATTCTTTCATTTTGATGAGGCAACGCTTTCCAATTGGTTAGTCTCCAGAGCAAAGCTGTGAGCCTACCAGCATTGGATGGAATCACATAAGGTCATGTTTTGAAGCAGAGAAAAATTTCGAATTCTCAATTTCTGTGCATAAATTTTTACTCTGGAAATGATAAAAATGGCCTGAGTTTTCCACAAGTGGTCAACCACTGACCGGTTTATTAGCCAGCAACATTTAAAGGTATTTTACTATTTTTAATCACTGTACATAGTACTTTCCAAGATGCCTAACTGGGAAAAGAAAAGAAAAAAAAGATTTATGTGATCAGTTAAAAATTTCAAACAATAGTTAACAGTAAGGCAAGTAAGGAACGGCTAATTTAAAAAAAATATGGTGGCCTAAAGCTTTGATCCTCCTCCTCCAGTTTTTGAATGGAATCTATCCATTTGGACTTCTTTGAAGTCCTAGCTGAACTAAAGATAGGATGTTCAAAATCATTCCAGGTAAAAATCATTCCAGTTTTATTCGTATAATTTTTTTTTTCAAAAATTGTCCAATCAAAACACAGCCTTAGCATGATGCATCCTCAAAGTTCTTTAGGACTAGGGGAAAACCAGTTATCATCCCACAGTTTTGTGCATGGAAGAAAGGTGTTTAATTACAAGAGGACTGAGTCCCTAGTTGGCTTTCCTTGGTTGGATGTATTAATTCAGATCGTGTGCAGCCATCTTTGTGAAATGATCAAATTTGGATTCATCACTGAACAGTATTAAGGTCTCAATAGTCTAATTTGCTTCTTCATCTCGGGATTCCATGGTTTTGTGAAAGTCACTCGGGTTCATAAAGGAAGAAATGGAATATTTCTTTTCAATAGATATATAAAGAGTTAGGTAAGGATTAGGTAACACAAAATCATGTTGTTTTTTCCAATTAATTCTTTTTAAACAGGCAATACTTCCCTTACTGTGGCAGTCCAAAGAATAATTTCTCTGCCAGCCTCTCCACCACCCAAAACTCTTGGAGTGGAAAGGATCCATCTCCGGAAGTCTTCCATGAATGAACAACTCTTAGAACAGAGACACTCCAGGTATGGGACTGTTGATGAAATTCAAGCTACAACAGCTTTATTGCTTTGTTCTTTTTTTAAAAAAAAATCATGCATTGCCTGCTATTTTAAAGTGACAAGGGCTTTTTTGAAACTATTCCTATGATTGATTGATCGATTGATTGATCACCTTTTCTACTAAAATATGCATATGAAATGCCTTGTAACAAAATAGAATAGAATAGAATTTTTTATTGGCCAAGTGTGATTGGACACACAAGGAATTTGTCTTGGTGCATACGCTCTCGGTGTACATAAAAGAAAAGATGCGTTCATCAATGATATCACTTAATGATAGTTATAGGATATCATAGGGTATCAAAGAGCTTGCATTCTGTTTTCATTGTGATTTCTACTGTCTGAGCTTTCACCTATGAACTGAATGTAAATGTATAGATACTTCTGGAACAGATTGTCCCGGAGAAGAGCGAGCTATTTGGTTTCTGAGAATTAACAGTGATTTGTTGTCTCATAATGAATCAGATTTTGCAACATCTCAACTGCTTGGCACCAGGAGCTAGCTTTACAGAAAAAAATGGCAGGACTAAAACCTAAACCACTCAGACTCAAAGAGATTTTCCTTTCCAACGCCTTCTGGTCAGGGAGTCATTTTAAGCAGCTCCTTGCTAAAGTGCCAAAACCAGAAAACTGGGAACAATTTATACATGCATGATGCCATATGAATAGAGCCAGGGCTTTATCTGAATCTTCATTTATTTTATTTATTAAATTTATATGCCACCCCGCTCACTGCTAAGGAGTCTCATTAGGTGAAGCTTTCTAATTTTCCTTGTTTTCAACTATTAACCCATAAGAATAATATATGAATAGCTCATAATGAATGTGTGCCATGAACACTATATTAACTTTGATCATTTCTCCCTCTGCCCTGTTTCATTGCCTGTCCTATCTTTTTAAGCCTCTCCCTACATAGTAATAACTCTTTTGCAAAGTAGTTTGCAGTATGATGCTCTTCTGCATGAAATCTGTTAGCACTCGCTATTCTATGCGCTGTTTGTGCATTGTCAGCCTATAGGAAAATAGTATCCATGCTGGTACTCTTTGCCTTGGTTTGAAGATACTGGGATGATGCTATTCACTAAATCCCTTTGTTTCTAATCATAGAGATTCTCTGTCAACTCACAGCAGTCCATACCGGACAGCCGAGAGGCAACACCATGGAGGAAGAAGTATGCCCACAACACCAGTCCTCACACGCAATGCCTACAGTAGCAGTCACTTGCAGTAAGTCACTCCCATGCTATTTTTTTTCCTCCTCACTTGAGTTAAAGTATTTCCCATTCGTATGCAAAAGGCATAACATGGCCAAAACCTCTAGGTGTGTCCACTATGGTTCTCAGTTGAATTCCTGCAATTGAGGTGATTTTGATGCATAAACATCTTTGAATCTGAATTCTTGGAACAGGAAGTTTTACATCTTAATTATTTTTAGGTACAGAAGAACTAAATGGGCTTATAGTCTTCAAAGCTAGAAATTGAGTCAGCTAAAAAATGGGTGGGCCAGGAAGTGCAAAGGACAAGGCAATTATGGTTTTACACAAATGGATGTGGCAGGTTTGGGAGGAAGAGATTTTGGGTTTTAATGAGTTGAGGGGTTTAGCATTTTATATATGAACTTCAGAGTAAATTTGTTTTACTCCAAGTAACGTTGTTTTCCTTTGGAAATCACACACACACACATAAGTTTATCTCTTGAAGTTTTGAGGACCAAAGAATGGACATTTGGGGTTTAACAGAGAGTGCCCATTTCTGAATTATGTTGCTTTAGGAAAAGTAATAGTGTCATACTATTACCTAAGTTTGAAGGGTTTACCATTGCATTCATGTAAGATAATATTTTACCTATTTAGTTGAATGTTACTGTGCTGATTGTACAGGTGATTTACTGTTCACTTACAAATTATTTCAGGTATGTAGGATTTATTCATCAGCAGTGAAATACCAACTTGCTTGTAATTCTATAATTTTATTAAAGTATAGACTAAGGAACGATGCGGTAGCCTAGCAGTGAAGACGCTCGCTTCCCACTCAGAAGGTTGAGAGTTTAATCCTAGGTAGTGGCAGATGTTTCTCTCCTAGGGCGCAAAGATAAAATATTTGTTGCGAATTCTGCGTGGGGTCAGGAAGAACACCAGCCAGTAAACGCTCAGCTCCATCCAGTCGTTCTGACTCTACCCTGAATTACAGGAACGTAAAAAAGGGAGTTTATTGAACTATAGCATAAAATTCTGCTGCATGATATAGCATGAAGTAGGGCCCTTTTCAGCTTCATATATCTAAAATCCTCCTTGTTAAAATCTGCCCTTTTACGATTTTCCTTGAAAACAATCTCAAAATGGTGATGCCACTACCTGTAGGTTGTTGAATTGATGTTATGTATTTACTTATCTTTTACTTTGCCTACTTTGTTTGAAATTTACCATACTTTCTTTGAATCTATTGCTCTAAGACAGGGGTGTCAAACCCGATTTCATTGAGGGCCAGATGAGGGTTTTGTTTGACCTCGGGGATCCGGGGTGGGTGTGGCCAGCATAGGCATGGCCAGTTCAACGTCACTCATGTCAGGGGCATTGGTGGGTTTCAATTGTTTTTACTACAGGTTCTGTGGGTGTGGTTTGGTGGGCATGGCTTGGTGGGCATGGCAGGGGAAGGATACTGTAAAATCACCCCACTCCAGGGGAAGGATACCCCATTTCCTCCTGATCACCTGGGACTTGGGAGGCAGAGAATAGATGGGGGCAGGGCCAGTCAGAATTTTTACTATCGGTTCTCCAAACTACTCAAAATTTCCACTACCAGTTCTCCAGAACTGGTCAGAACCTGCTAAAACCCACCTCTGGTCGGGGGCACCTGTGGTGGCCCGAGCACTCTGCCAGTAAAAACAAGCTCCCGAGTTCCGTTTCTAGCTGCGATGGCTCTTGCAACCCTCTGCCAGCAAAAATAGAGCTCGGTTTTCACTGGCAGAGGCACTGCAGGCCGGTCCCTCACTGTTTTTGGGGTGGGCCCGCGGGCGAGATCTAAGCACCACGCAGGCCAGATCTGACCCCCAGGCCTTGAGTTTGACACCCCTGCTCTATGATATTATTAGAACTGACTGTCTGCTTTCCTTGTAACAAAAACCTGCTTCTTTTTTTTCCAGACCCGATACATCCCCTCAGCACTGTTTGGAGACTCAAACTACCTTCTTATCGGAAACCGCCAGTGAAAAGCCAATGTTCACCCTTTCAAAATCCCAAAGAAGTAGCAGCACAGAAATCCTCGATGACGGATCCTCCTACACCAGCCAATCCAGTGCAGAGTATTACTGCATGACCCCAAATTCGAAGCCCTGTTATAGCACCCAAACCCTTGACAACCGCACTAGAAACAGGAGACGGTCCAAGAAACCGAACATTTCTGCTTCCAACTCAGGAAGTATGCCTAACCTAGCCCAGAAGGACAACTGCAATGGGATCTATGCAAAAAAGCAAGGACAGATGCCAACCAGTTGCTACATTTCTGGTTATGCCCCTTCTAAAGAGGGCGACATATATTACAACAGTGGCTATGTCTATGAGAACGGCACAGAGGGCCAATACACAGTCAATCCTTCCTATCGTTCCTCGGCGCCCTACGGGTACGAACGTCGGTATCGGGAATTCAGATCTTTCCATGAAGATGAAATGGAGAGAGTGCCCCACAATCCGTACGCCACGCTGCGCTTGCCCCGGAAGCCATCGATGAAAACAGAGCACATCACTAAAAATATCCACAAGGCCTTAGTTGCGGAACATCTCCGTGGCTGGTACCAGCGTGCCTCTGGACAAAAAGAGCAGGTTCTTGGCTTGCAGGCGGGCCTTGATGCTGATCGAGAGTCCCAGAGAAGCCTAGGCTGTGCTGGACTACAGATGCTAAGTTGTCAAAGCAGTCACTCATCTTCTTTCTCTTTAGGTAACTATACCGCTTGTTAGGTTTGTTTGTTTTTTTGTAACTGTTCTGTTTTGTGTTGATGTTCCTCAGAGATCTTGATTGCTTCAGTCCAATGCATGAATAATGGCCTCAGTGTTCTGACCCAGCTCCCCAAACACGACAAACCCTCTGAAGTTAATTCAATGATTCCTTTATTAGGAGCACCAGCCACTCCAGAAAAAAATTTCTCTCTCACCGCAGGCTAACAAGTCTGTCCGGCAGGGAGATAAAAACTTGTCTGCCACATCTATTCATCTCCGCCCCCTGCCTTTTATCCCCAGAGCTAGGGTGGGGCTTCGCTAGCAGCAGGCTCTTCCTTCCCAAGGATCGGCCCACGGATTTCCACTGCTCTCCTCTCCTCTGCCTTTTGCGCATAAGCGCATCAGGCACTGGACCCAGCTGTTCCTCCTCTTCCTCATAACCCACCTCAAGACCTGGGGGCTGTTGACTCTCCATCTGAGGGCCGACGGACGGCCCAGGCTCCGCCTCCGTCTCTCTCTCTGACAGCTCCATTCCCTCTTCCCCCTCGGAGCTCTCAGGTTGCCTTGGTGCTGGTCCTGACTCCCACGCCTCCTCCTCATCTGATTCGGCTGCTGGAGGGGCCGGCAGCCGACAGGCCACACAACACTCTGCCTGCAGGAGGTTTTTCTACTGACTGAAATGTCATCCATTCATTTGCATGAGCAAAGCTCTTCTTTTCATAAGTGGGAAATCCTCCTCCCACAGAGGCTCATTGTCAGCTGATAGCGGGAAATGCTTTAATTAGATTGCAAGTGTCTCCGACAATCACTGGAGGGGGTGCTGGCGCTCTTATCTGGTTAATCATTGCAAAGAGCAAGGTGAGGTATAGAAAAGAGAATTCTCCAATTGTTGGAGGTTAAAAACGTGAGTGATTTGGGAATCTGGAATATGAGTAGTTATACAATGGGCTGAATGCAACACAAAAGGCTTAACTGTTATTAACGGAATAGTGGTCAACATTTTAAAAGTTATTTTACCCAGTGTCGTAGAATAGTGTACTCACTGTATATTGTATTCAGTGTCACGGCTGAATTTGTACAAGGGAGTCTAGGTTGTACAGTTCTAAAACTTGCCTGGAAGCTGAAAGAGTTTTCAACTGATTCTTACGTTGTTATTTATTTTACTAGTGTCTAAAAAAAGGGATATTCATATTTTAAAATAAGTGGCAAATAGAATAAAAAAAAGAAAGGCCAGTTTTACCATCCTAGTCCTCTCCTGCTGCATTGGGAATGGAACACTTTGGATTCCCAGCAATGATAGCCATCATCTGGCTGATAATTTGGGGACTGTAGTCCTAAAACATCCCAAAAGCATCTGGTTAGATGCACTGAATAGTATTAAATAGTAAATGCCTGTCTGGAACAGGCAACTTGTTATCCTTCAGATGTCTTAGACTGCAATTTCCAGAAACACCTACCATTGCATGACCAGTGCTCATAGCAATAGTCCAAAATGTCAGAGAATGTGGATCTTGGCTATACCTGTTATAAATTATAGCTTGAGTGAGAGAATTACTCATGTGTAAATTTAAAGGTCAGCACTTACCCACTATTTTATTCATTATTTACACGCAACTTTTAATGTGCAGCTTACTATTTAAGTGTACCTCTTCATTAGGTCAGCTTAGTCATGGTACTGTATCCTTTACAAAAGGAATCGGGAAAACTCTCAACCAAGTGTTGTGGATTTTAGCCAAGTAATCAATGAGAGTCCTGTTACGCTGGTTTTAAAAGAATGATCATACTAGTTTGTAATACAACCGGGTGTCAACAGAGTGTGCAGGAGGTTAAGAAATTTGAGACAAGCCTTACTGGATCATACAAATGGCTCATCAAGTCCCACATCCTGTCTCCCATAGTGATGAGGGCCTGGAAGGAACCAAGTGTTTTAATCACAGGACATACCTTTAAAAAGCATCCAATGTTTGTGTTCATAAGATAGTTTATAATAGTTGTGGAATTTATTCTGCAACTTCTTCTTATTCCGCAACTTTTTCAATGTAATTGATTGCTATTGAAAAAGAGGTGAAGTATCAGCAGCCTCTCATTGTTAAAATGTTATCCCAAATATATGGGGTCTGTACAGGTGTCTATCATACCATTCTGGACTTTTGAAAATAAAATAAAATAAAATAAAATAAAATAAAATAATAAAATAAAATAAAATAAAATAAAATAAAATAAAATAAAATAAAATAAAATAAAATAAAATAAAATAAAATAAAATAAAATAAAAAAATAAAATAAAATAAAATAAAATAAAATAAAATAAAATAAAATAAAATAAAATAAAATAAAATAAAATAAAATAAAATAAAATAAAATAATAATAAATGGTACTGTGTCCAAGAATTTTATAAAGATACATCAACAAATTGCAGCTTCCTGCAATAACACCAGCGGAACTGCAAAAAACTGTGCTACTTGGAACATCGTACATCTTGAGAAGGTACTTGGTTGATACCTAGGACGCTGGCAGCAACCCATATCAACCATTAGCACCAGTCAGTGGTATTTGTGATGCATTTTTGAATGTTCAGTTGACTGAGTTTCATGTTTAATGAATGAAGTAAATAATAATAATAATAATACACAAACTTCAGAAAATCTTAAAATGTGGCAGAGCCTAGATGGTATATAAGGTGTTGGATTAGAATTAAGAAAACGCAGGTAAAAATTCACATTCAATCTCTCTCCCAAACCAACCCACATGGTAGGAGAGGATAACATTGAGAAAGGGAATATAATGAGCTCCTATAGGAAGGACAGGTTGTAAGTCTAGCAAATGTGTCTGCTGTTGCTGGTGATAAGTTCCAAATGTTAGATAAAGAGCAATGGCCCCAGAGCACATTTAGCACATTTAATGCTAAATGGAGATTTAAAGCAGTCTTTCAAAATCCAGCATCCTAATCAGTACATCACCAGGGAGATGATCATTTTTTATTTCATCTTAGATCTTTTGCTGAAAGCCAGTGAGCTCAGCATTAATTTGCAAAAGTTCACCTTATATCAGCAAAGATGGAATAAAATTTATAAATACTTTAAGATAAGCTTCCCCAATGAAGTTTTTGTAAATGTATCGGTATCCAAGCCCCATGTGTTAGATTTCGAGTAGGGGAAGGGAGTGGCATTAAAAGGAGTGTTCTCCTAATCAAATTGGCATTTTCCTTTCATCTGGGATGTTTCGTGCAGTGTTTCTTTGAACCCAGACAAATTTTTATCTAAGCAGTTCTTATCCAAATCAAGGAAGGATTCATTGTTGACATTCTTTTCTCCTTATCTCTTCTCTCTTCAATTTTAGCATCCTCAACAAATTCCTCCGTGAACTGGCGGAATCAGGTCTTGTTAGGACTTCCTGATTATGATACGCTATCTCAGTCCTCTTTTGCCAGCTGTTACGGGAATGTGTATGGGAACCACCCACTGCAGAGCAGGTGAGCCCTGCAGCTTTCGCAAAATGTAGAAAGACCTACATGTTGGACAGCGACCCCTACAGTTTGCTCCGTGTTGCTGAAAATGTTGCTTTGTAAATTGTAGCGCACTATGGTTGCAAAACCATAAACTGGGATGGGGGACTTGGGGTGGGAGAGGGTCAAAGACCACATCTGTATAGGAATAATCGGGTGTTGCATCTCACACCACATGAAGCCAACAGTGAGCCAGCATGGGGATAAAGTAGCACAAACATAAGGCTATGTATAATGTAATTGTCCCATTCCAGGACCTGATTTCCTGAAGTCTGCCCTTTACATTAGACCGGTTCAACCTATGTATCATGTTATGCGCAAAGGTAGTACAATCCAGGCCCAATTCAAAGAGCTGGTAAATTACTTTTAAAGCTCAACTTGTCATAACACCGGGATGCATCTGAAACTCCTTCCCAGAACAAAAATATGCCCATAGAGTCCAGTCATGAAGAGAGGACCTCTGAAAGTTCTCTCTCTTCCTGACGTTTGCAGGAAATGGGTAAAACAGCAAACTTTCCCTGTCATAATTCCCAAAGTATGGAATAACTTCCTCCTAGAAATATGTGCAGCCCGCACCTTTCTGCTGTTCCATAAACAAATTGAAACTGCTTTATTTTATCACCCTTTTGGTGCCAGATGACTTCCTTGGACACCTATCTTAGGTATTATTTGGGGTTTTACCTTTCCTCAGAGTTAAGGGTTTTTGTTTTTGTTTTGTTTTTTGTACTGCTCTGGATTTCACTGTTTATCCTATGTTCTTTCGTTTTCCTTTTGTTTGATGTTACATGCCATAATCCTGTGTTATATGCCATAATCCTGTGGGATTGGGGAGAGTTCTAAGTTCTGTCAAATAAATAAATGAAAGTATAAAAATATTTGATTGTTGTACACAGAGTTGCTTTTTGTGAGATGGGCAGCTAGCTATTCAGATTCGATGAATCAATAAATAAAGACAAAGGCACCCTCACATTTGGGCCTTCCTTGTGTATTCTGTTTGTCTCATCCTTCTCCAATCGGGCTTCTGAAAATACACATAAAATTAGGTAGGGCAGCCTCCTTCAGCCTGTTTACTTGAGTTTGGTGAGGATGAGAGTTGTGGCTCAATAGCTGGAGGACACCAAGCTGTAAAATGCAAGTTTATGTATTTTAAACAAAATGCATTTGACTTCTCCAAGGATACCACTTTGAGCCACCCATAACCCTCATGCCTTGTTTCTAATTACTGTTTTTCCCCCTTGTATTTTCTCCTTGGCTTTCATGGCACTTCTGCCAACAGCAAGTAGCTTAAAGCTTCCCTCCGATGCTGCCAATTGCTTTTTTTTCTCCCAATCCTGAGGTTTCTGTCTGCTGGTATCCCTAATCCCTGTTTTGTGCCTGTTCCCGCTCCCTCTCCCCTTCTCATTTCTGCTTCTGTTGTCTTAAATTCTTTTCTCCCTTAGAACAAAGCATTTCTCTGTCTTAACATCTGCAGGAATGACTTGATGTTTAAATACCTTGAAGTAAGAGGATCCAAGTACTTGTGATCAGTGGGTGGGTGGTGTGAGCTAGAGGATTGCTGATACCCTTGCTTATCGCTGAGCAGACTTAACGTGAAGTGAACTTGTGATATAGTGCTTTTGCTTTAAAATGAAGCAAAATTAATTAAGCATATAGTGGCATTTGCTTAATTTTAAAGCTTTTAAAGGCTTTTAAAACTGACCTGTTCCAGATGATTTTCTTTAAAAAAAATAAAATAATAAAAACTGTTAAAGGTGGGGAAAATACATAACCAAACAAAAATTGTGAGTTCTTTTTATTATTTAATTAATGTCAATTTTTAGGAGAATTGCCGAGGCCTATTTAGCACATTTTTGCCAAATTCCAGCAACATACTCTGTTACCTTGGGGGGGGGGGGGTTGCAAGTAGGAACTGGGGTGCCATGAATAACCAAAAGGTACTCCTTCTTCACCCTTGCTCTAAACTATTATTATAGTCCTCATTTAGCAACTGCCTCATCTAGCAACCTTTCAGCAGTTATGAAGTAATAAAGAAGTAACTTGCAATCAGTCCCTGCATTTACAACCTTCACAGGTCTGTAAAGAGAAGGAAAGCCAAAATAAGATCATAAACACAGTTCACTGCTTCACTGCTGAGTTGAGGATCCCAATTATGGTTCCTAAATGAGGACACTCTTATCTGTTTTATTGCAACAAGGCCATTTTGTAAACTGAGGCTTGCTTCATAATGAATGCTTCACCACTCCTGTCAGAAGGAATAGATAATACACACATATACCCAAATTCTATGTATAAACCAGTCCTAAATGTTCAGGGTGGGATGAGATAGAAATACATTTCTGTGTATTTTTTTTAAAAATGGGTGTTTAGTTATCATTTACATATTGCTACATGTTCATGGCAGTGACTTAAAACAAATGCATACCCAAGTAGTCCTCAACTTATGACCACAATTGGGACTGGATAAATTCATTAAGAGGTGCAGTTGTTAAGTGAGGCGTCCAATTTTATTACCTTTTTTTTTTTTTTTGCTGTGGTTTGTCATCACGTGATTGCAGTTTGCAACTTTTCTTGCCGGTTTCCCACTGACTTCGTTTTGTCAGAAACCAGCTGGCAAATTTGCAATTCACAAACATTTGACTGTGGGAGGTTGCAGCAGCTATAAATGTGAGTCCAGTTTCCAAGTGCCTGGATCACAAGCTTGTGACTGTGGGGATGCTGCAATGGTCGTAAGTGTGAGGATTGGTTAGAAGTAATCTTTTTTTTTTCATTGTAACTTCAAATGGTCACTAAATGAATGGTCATAAATCGAGGTCTGCCTGTATAACAGATTGTTATCTAAACTGCTGTTGACTGTGTGACTGTTGGATTGTATCCATCTGTGTCTTTCAAACACCCTGCCTTCATAATGTTTGAATGAACTTCCTGGGCCAAAGGTGCTTTTCCAAAAGTCAACTGGACTTTCCCCCCCTTTTTTTTTCTTTGAAAACGTTTTGCTTCTCATCCAAGAAGCTTCTTCAGTTCTGAATTGAAGAAACTTCTTGGATGAGCAGCAAAACGTTTTCAAAGGAAAAAAAAAAAAACCAAGGAAGCCCAATTATATTTTGGAAAAGCACTTTTGTGACAACCATGACCTGGACGATTGAGAATCTCCATAGACACTGAACTTCCTGGGGTTTGGGACTCCCATAAATTTATGTCAGGAAATAGCATAATGCAGGCTGCCTTCTTTTAAAATTGGCTTCGGAACATCCCTTGAAAACATTGGGAGCAGAGGTGGGTTTCAGCAGGTTCTGACCAGTTCTGGAGAACCGGTAGCGGAAATTTTGAGTAGTTTGGAGAACCAGTAGTAAAAGTTCTGACTGGCCCCACCCCCATCTATTCTCTGCCTCCCAAGTCCCAGCTGATCGGGAAGAAATGGAGATTTTGCAGTAACCTTCCCCTGGATTAGGGAGGGAATGGAGATTTTACAGTATCCTTCCCCCTGGAGTGGGGTGGGAATGGAGATTTTATAGTATCCTTCCCCTGCCATGCCCACTAAGCCACGGCCACAGAATCGGTAGTAAAAATTTTTTTGAAACCCACCACTGATTGGGAGGTCTGCTTAGAAAGAACAGGCCTTCTGGGCAGTGGTGAAATCTAATTTTTTTTTCTACCAGTTCTGTGGGCGTGGCTTGATGGGCATGGTGTGGTGTGGTGTGGCTTGATGGGTGTGGCAGGGGAAGGATATTGCAAAATCTCCATTCCCACCCCACTCGGGGGCCAGCGAGAGGTGGTATTTGCCGGTTCTCCAAACTACTCAAAAATTCCGCTACAGGTTCTCCAGAACCTGCTGGATTTCACCCCTGCTTCTGGGTGAACTCTAGAGGAGCACTTAGCTAGCCACTGATGGTTATGCTTCTTTTCCAGGATATATCCTGAAACTAACCAGTTGGGCAACAGCAGTAGGAACCCTTTGCAAGACGGCCTGCAAGAGAACGAACAGAGGCTCTTCTGGCACGAGGATTCAAAACCTGGGACTTTAGTATGAACCTGCCCTCTCCTCCTTCAAATGCCCCACGTGCCTTGCACCTTACATGTTTTCCCTACGAAAACAAGGTTCCTGGTGCAGCAGCTCCGTCAAGGAGATTTGTGCTGGGAGGACAAGAAGCATTCAGTGAGAGAAACCAGAAGAATCTCACCTGCGCTAGCACAACAGTATGAATCCGAATCTCCTCAGCAAAAAAAGGACTCCTAGTTGTCTGCTTTTAAAGCTCCTAACCTCCAGATGCTACTTTTGAGTTAAAAGTATTTTTGAAAGCACTTTTTTTTTTTTAAGAAAAAGAAAATGGGGAGTTTTTCGTGGACGTTGCAGAACATCCCAAAATGTGAAAAGAAGATTCTTTGTTGGGATTAATGTTATTTTTTGAGCAGCACAATTTTTGGAGAGAAAGAAGCAGGCAACGCCGAGAGAGTCACATCTGCCGATCAAGAAGATTCTGTTGAAGGATGCCACGAGTATAATGAACCGAGTGGAGGAGTGGCTTTCTATTGCAATGCTACTTGAAGGATGCTTGGTTGTGTGTGTGTGTGTGTGTGTGTGTGTGTGTGTGTGTGTGTGTGTGTGGTTTTTTGTTTTTTTTTTAACAGTATTCCGAATAAGGATAAAGGTCTTTTAAAGGTATGCCATCTTGGATATATTTCCATAAGTTTAAACATGGGGCAGGGGTGGGGCAGAGAAGCAGTTGCACATAAAGGTAATAAAAGCATAATTGTTTTCCTGACTTTTTTTTAAAAAAATGCAATTTTGCATGTTCTCTTCCCATCCTTCCCCATGTTGCTATGTAATTGTCAAGGTTTAATATGGAATGCACTGGGACACATTTGAGGTGCTTTCACAGAATTGTTTACAAGAGCTACACTGTCTTCCATTAGCAGCACTCCCAGATTTTCCCCCACCCCCTTTTCTTCTGTGTTTCTTCTTTCCAGAAAAAACAAACAAACAAAATCCTTACATAAAAAAAAAAAAGGCAGAAGAGCAGCACAATAACCCTTGAATACAAGCACCAAGGGCTCCTCTGTCCAGAAGTCTCATAATATTCAATGACTTTGAAAACAGAAACTTTGCAGTTGACCAATTAGGGCAGAGGTCTTCAAACTTGGCAGCTTTAAGACTTGTGGACTTCAACTCCCAGAATTCTCTGGGAGTTGAAGTCCACAAGTCTTAAAGCTGCCAAGTTTGAAGACCTCTGAATTAGGGCTATCTGGGCCAGTATTACTCTTTGTTTAATAGTGAATGCAAATACATTTAATTACACCATGTAGGTGCCTTGAAATCGATAGGCATTAAAATGGAAAAGTACAAGATGTGTGCAGAACAAATGCACAAAGAAGTCTGATCGATGAGGAGAATCCATTGGCTAGGATCTGCAGTGATTGGGAACAGGGCGAACCAAGAAAGCAGCCCAGGTTGGAAATTGAGTTGAATGAAGAGCAGACAATCTAAAATGCCTGTTCGGTAAATCCAGGAGCTGGATACATGTTTTGTTTCCATCACTCTGTGAAATCAACTTATCTGATCTATGAGTAGAAATGTGTGCATACATTATAAATTGTAAAAAGTGGCTTGGTGGGTATGGTGTGGCTTGGTGGGCGTGGCAGGGGAAGGATACTTCAAAATCCCCATTCCCTTCCCACTCCTGAGGGAAGGATATTGCAAAATCTCCATTTCCACCCTACTCGGGAGCCAGCCAGAGGTGGCATTTGCCAGTTCACCGTACTACTCAAAATTTCCGCTACCAGTTCTCCAGAACCTGCTGGATTTCACTTCTGGGACCACAGAGTGATTAAATGACTATTTCCAATAAAATCAATAATTTTTGGTTTTGGTGCAAAAGAGAGAGATAAAAATCAGTTAACAGGTTTTCGCCAGGAAAGATCAGCCTACCTCATGTCTATCTGTCGGACTAAACTAAGCATCATCTATCAGACTTTTGCAGCCTATAAACAATTATGTTTCTTTCTCGGTTACACTGTGCTTCAGGATTCTCTAAAATGGTGCTGTTTGGGACTTTTAAAAATAGGGTGCATCACTCCTTATTCATATTGTGAATACAATAGTTTCTGGCAAAAAATAATCTTTTTACCGATACTCCAAAGCATGTACAAAGAATTCTATATATGCTCACATGAATATATACGTGAGTCTGTGTATATTTATGTACACACACAGGCATACACTCGCAGAGAGAAGCTGAATTTGTTAAGCTGGTCCTTAGTCATTTGTATTATTAAAAGTTTTAAGTTTGGAATAAACATTGAAAATGTAAAACACAAATAATTTATTTCTTTGTGCATATTTATATAGCCTTTTAAAAACAAAATCTTTTTTGCTTATTCTTTTACTGCTACAGACTTTTCAGAGACCTATGATTTTGTATAGGTAAATAAACTTTATGCTACTAAATATTTTCTTACTTTCTTTTTGTTTGTTTAAGGCTTTCTTTCTCTCTAAGGGCATTGGAGCATTAAATAAACATAAATAACAAAACTGAGGCAAATTTGCAAGATGACTGCTTCTTACAGATTTTCAATACTCTCATATGAGATCTCACAATTTGCAATTGCCATAGAACAGGGGTGTCAAATTCGATTTCACTGAGGGCTACATGAAGGGTGTGTTTGACCTCGGAGGCTGGGGGGCCATGGCCGGGGGTCGGAGTGGTCATGGTGGGCGTGGCCAGCTCACCGTCATTCATGTCGTTACCTGTGGTGGCCAAATGCTAAGGCAAGACTTCCCTGAGACCCTCCCTCAGTCTCATTATAATCCTTCCTTCCTTTCCTTCCTTTTCTTTTTCCTTCCCTCTTCCTTCTCTTTTCTTCTTTCCTTATTTTTCCTTCCTTCTTCTCTTCCCACCTTTCCTTCTTTTTCTTTCTCCTTTCCTGTCCCTTCTTGCATGCTCAAATTCAAAAGGGGAAACATTTCTCCTTTTGTTTTTAATTTGTTTTGATAGCCCTCTGCCAGTGAAAACGGAGCTCGGGGGGGGACAGTGCACAGCCCCCCCCCCATGCCCCATTTTCACTGGCAGAGGCACCGTGGGCCAGTTCTTTGATGTTTCCAGGCCAGCCCCGTGGGCCAGATCTAAACATCCCGCGGACCGGATTTGGCCCATGGGCCTTGAGTTTGACACTCCTGACATAGAAAATCCCGGATCTACGCACCTTCCACCATGCTCTCAAGACCTTTTTATTCCATCAGGCTGGCCTGGCCTAATTTTTTCCCTTTTTTCCCTTTTTAAAATGCAAATTTTAATTCATTCTTAATTTATTGGGGTGTTTTAAATCTGTCTTCGGCCAAATTGTTTAATTCGGTTTTTATCCAGTTTTAAATTTTGTATTTATGTGTTTTTATCCTGTGGCTCTTCACCACCCTGAGTCCTTCGGGAGTAGGGCATTATACAAATCAAATAAACAAAACAAAACAAACAAAATTCTCAGAGGAAAAGTAGCAGCAAATTTGTGGAATTTGGGCTATCTTTTCCGTAATGTTGTTTTCGGTGTATCCACCATTGTCTGAACAAAGCTGCTAGTATAACAAATGTCTTAACAAGGTAAGCTTTGAAAAACTCCACAGGAAAATTCTTACTCTCTATATCTCTTCTTTGCTCTGTCTCATATATTCTTTTGAAATTAAAACATCCAATGGGTGGAACAGCTGTATCAAAGTTTGCCATGGAGAATAAAAAAAGCCATATGCAGGAACATAGAAACAATTGCATGGGACCCGTATAAACTGTCTGAACACACAACATTGCACATGCCAGAACTCTCAGTTTTGGGGAAACCAGTGAATACAGTAGTGGCCAATATTGTGGAAACCTGTGAAAATAATTTTGGGAAAAGCATATTTTCTAAAACTAGCACCGCTTTTTTTTTTAGTAGTACCATAAAATTATATATCAATGGAAAGATAATTTAATCAAAAATGAAATGCAATAACCTTTATGAAGGACTTGCTATTAGAATAGCAGTTACAGTATAAAGAAGAAAAAAACTCCTAGAAAAAAATGAGATATACAAAAATTATCACCATGTCAGTTAATACTTAATTGGGTAACCTTTAACATGAATTAAGGCCTTACAATATCTTCCCATGGAGTGAACCAAGTCTTTTAGTTCTGCAGCTATTATAATGTGAAACCAAGATTGAATGATGGCTTCTATTAACTGGGTTTTATTGCTGGGTCGCTTCTGACTAACAAGTTTCTTTAGTCGGCTCCATAGATTTTCAATTGGGTTAAGGTCTGGGCTATTCCCAGGCCATTCCAGCAGTGGAATATGATTATCTTGAAACTCCCCCAAAAAGTGGTGTTATTAGCCATCAAACCTCAAAAATACACTTTTCCCAAAAGGTTTCCATAAATTTGGCCACTAATGTGCAGTTACAATTTTGAAATTGTGGGCTCTCACAGATTTCTGCCATAATTGCAGAGCCTTAAATAAAACATCAAGTTCCTAGAAGGGCAACGAGTGAAATTATTTTCCAGACTGGTTCTAGATCAGGCCCAGAGGATCATTTAATTCCATTAAAAACTGCTTGAATTCGGAGAATACTTCAGTCTCAGTACCCATTTTTCCTCTCTGTTAGTAAAAGGCAAGGTATCAGGAGTGACACCCACCTAAGCATACAAGAGAGTCTTAAGTTTCCTCACCTCACCTTGACCTAAGAAGGAAAGTTAAACCTGTCAGTGGCTGACCTAAATAACCTTCCATTGCAAACAACGAACTGAGGAAGCCCAGATAAGCTGCTTGATTGGCATGCTTCAAACACGATTTAGGAGCAGAAGGGGGGGGAACCCCACCTTCTGTACACTTCTGTATATGGCAGGACACTGGCCCCTTATTAGCAGCTGCCTGTAGTTCAGGCCAAGCAGGCTAGATCAAAGCAGATGCACTGGAGAAAATGCCTCCCAAAATAGTATCTCCACCTGACGTGCCTGACTAGATGGCTCAGTGGCTAAGACACTGAGCTCAGAAAGCTCGGCGGTTCAAATCCCTAGTACAGATCTCCTGCGTGAGCAGGGGGTTGGACTAGATGACCTCCAAGGTCCCTTCCAACTCTGTTACTTGTTAAGCAAGGACGTCACCACATGCAGTGCAAGGAGGCGTCTTAGGTGCTGTCCCCTGAATCTGGCCTTGTGGCAATTCCTACCAGAACTTTTTCAAGGCAAAAGTTCCCCCACAGCTTTGCCATATTTGAAATCCAGGAGAGAAAAAGCAGCAAGTGAATAAAGAGCTAAACATATACGGTTGCCACCCTTAAATTTGAGTAATGCTGCAAAGATTCAAGAGGAAGATTGCGGAAAAGATGGGTATTGAGAGGAGAGATCAAAGGCAAGAGAGACACAATGTACATGTCGACAGATGGAGGTTTTTTTTTTCTTCTTTCCAAACTGACAGTGAAGGAGAATGAAACGAGCTGAGCAAGAATTGGAAAATTCAAGGTCTGTATACAAAGACATGACATTTGCCGCTATCAAATGTGATGATAGCTGACAATTTAGATGGTTTTTAAAAGCAGACTAGAATGCATACTGAGGGAGAGGGCAAATCATACAATAGCCATCGATGTTGATGACAGGATACCATTTTCTGAATCATGGCTAGAATAAGTTAAAATACCTGCTATAGTGGAGACATGAAAGAAATGTCTGGTGTATGATACAGGATCTTGGTCTTCGTAGGGTATTGCCTTGATCCAACCAGGCTCTTTCTACATTTAGACAATGGATATAGCAATAGCACTTAGACTTATATAACGCTCCATAGTGCTTCGCAGCCCTCTCTAAGCGGTTTACAGAGTCAGAATATTGCCGCCAACAATTTGGGTCCTCGTTTTACCCACCTCGGAAGGATGGAAGGCTGAGTCAACCTTGAGCTGGTGAGAATCGAAATCCTGGCAGTAAGCAGTGAGTTAGCCTGCACTACTGCATTCTCACCACTGCACCACTATGGCTTCTGATATAATGGAAAAGGGGCTAAAATGACAGGGGTGGGGTGGGGGGAGTCTCTTCAAAGGCAGCCATGAGCCTTCCCAAGTTTCTGTTGACTAAGAGCAAATTCCTAATGCTCATTTTGCAATTGGCCACAGGATTATGAGAGCTAATATATTGTAGACAGAAATCCTTAGATCTGAAACATTGAGGTGAATCTTACTGAATAGAAAGCAGTACAACCAGTTTTGCTATCCAATGCAATAGCTAATGAACGTTTTCTTGAGGGAATTCAGAATGACTAGCAGAATCCAGTGGTAAATAGCTGGCCTCCCCCAAAATGTTGCTGGACTGCATTCATGTAGTTATTGCACATACTTGCAAATCTTCAGCTACCAAGCTAATGCCACCTACAAATCATACCAGGCCACAGTACACCAGAAGTTTCAAAGTGTATTTAGAGAAGAAAACAATTTCAAATCACACGGTATAACAGAGATATATGCAACACAATAAATAATAATTTATAAAACATATGCCTGAGCTGGGGTCCCCATTACACACACCTAATCAGAACACGAAATTGTCATGATGATACTGAACCCTGCTGATCTCCATGATGGACAGTCCTACTAGTGTATTGCTGCTGAGACACAGCTTCAAGTCAGCCAAGGCCTAATCATGGGTGAGCTGTTGCTCTTAACTGCATCTCCTGGAAAGTCCAGACAGAGTTGGGGTAACTAGAATCAGACTGTTGACAAGTCAGTCTAATTATTTTCCACCATTTGTTCCAAATGCCTAACAGACTCTGCCAATCTAGCATGATATTTTTCTGATGGCCTCTGTATCCAAGGTCTAAGAAGACCAAAACCTACTTTTTGAAATAAGCTAAGGTTTAGTGCTTGTGACAAAATTGAATTAGGGTCATAAATGTCTCTAAAGTTTAATGTTTAAAGTTTTCGTTTCTACTACATTAACAGTATAATACAAAGATAGGGCCTAGCTATTTGAAGGAACGCCTATCTCTGATGGCTTCAGCTCATCAGTTGAGATCAGGTAGACTGACTGCCTTTAGGTTTCTCTTTTAGGTGTCATCTCAGGACCTAGCAAGCAAAATTTCTCTGCTGTAGCAACTGATTTATATGGATCCCATTACCGGTTCACAAATGTGAGTGCACCCCCATCCACGCATGTGCCTGGCCTTCCATGCATGCTCTTTGCTGGCACATGTGCCTTTCATGCATGCACCCGGCCTCAAAAACGTGCCTAAATAGGATGGCATAGAGCCAGGGCAGGTGGGCGGGGCCAACCACAATTTCTGCTACCTGTTCAGGTGAACCAGTCCGAA